ATATGACACCAAAACCACAAGCAGAGGAAAAAAATAGATAAATTACATTTCATAAAAATTAAAATTGCTTGTCCTTCAAAGGACATCAGAAAGTGAAAGATAACTGACAGAATGGGAGAAAATATTTTCAAATCATATATCTCATAAGGGTTTAGTATCCAGAATATATAAAGAATTCTCACAACTTAAATAACACAATATAAAAATGGACTAATGATGTTGAGCATCTGTTATGTGCTTACTGGCCATTTGTACGTATTCTCTGGAGAAATATTTATTCAAAATCTTTGCCCATTTAGGGCCGGCCCGGTGGCGCACTTGATAGAGTGCGGCACTTGGGAGTGTGGCGGCGCTCCCGCCGAGGGTTCGGATCCCATATAGAGACCGGTCCGCTCACTGGTTGAGCATGGTGTGGGCGCGACACCAAGGGTTGCGATCCCGTTGCCGGTCACGGTACGGGCGCGACACTGAGGGTTACGATCCCGTTACCGGTCATGAAAAAAAAAAGACAAAAAGGAAAAAAAAAATCTTTGCCCATTTATAATTGGATTATTTGTCTTTTTATTGATTTAAGAGTTCTTTATATAGTCTGAATACTAGAGCCCTATCATATGCATGATTTGTAAATACAAGGGTACTTCAAAAAGTTAGTGGAAAAATGAAATTGTAAAATAATATGACTCTTTCCATAAACTTTTTGAAGACTTCTTGTATATCTGCAAATTTATATCTGCTTTTTACACCACACATGAGGAAACAATGCTGGTAAAAATGTGCCAAACACAAATTTCCCTCCAAGTTAAAGCATGAACTTAAACATGTAATCTTGACTCAGCCTACCTTGATCCTTTAAAGATTTCAAAACCATCTGATGAACTAGAAAAGGTCTCAGCATGAAAAAAGACTTCTTTAAAGGTTGTCTCTCTATTGCACAAACTTTTTATACAGCATTAAAGTATAACTTTTAAGAGGAAAAGAAAACTGGTTCTAAACCTTGCCATAAACTAGAATACAAATGCACGATTAAAAAAAAAACAACATTTACAATTTGCCATAAGCTTTAAATGTTAAATTGTTGAGGGTGGGTTGGGGATGAGGGGTAGAGGAGAATAGGAGGAATGCTCTATAGTTGATGTTGCTTGGTAGAATATAAAAGAGTGAATACTAAAATGCTACATATTTAGTACAATACACAGACTATTTCTTAAAGGCTTTATTTCTTCTTTCAAAAATGAACACTGCCCATATCTTTTAAAAATTCTTCATTGTTTTAATAATATAGAATCTGTTAACATAATTTTATTTAAAAACACATTTACTTTTCATAAATATTTTCATTCATCTGTAGGAGAAAAACGTCAACTTTTCTCAAACTGAAACAGATCTTTTGAGAGTAAAATTTCATTCAATAGGGAAGGTGATCTTCAACTTGAAATTACCAAACTTATGCAAACTACTGCTAATGCTCTATTTCTACCAATAATTAAAGGATTTCCAAATCCTAAAAATTCAAGAACAAAGGCACACAATAGCCACATAATTTTATACAATGACTCATTGTTGCTGATACTGAATATGTGTTTCAATGAAACTGACAGACAAAACTTACCGATTCCCAACAAGTAAGATTGTGTACAGATATACCCACCATGAACAGTCATAATAATCATATGCTATGCCTCATGACATCATTCTTCTTGCTAGTTTTTGTTGGTTTTAGAACATGGCTGCAAATTTTTTGACCTTCCTTCACAAGGTGAAGCCTCGGCCCTACCCCTTGGATCTGGGTAGGCTTGTGACCGATTCCAACGGAGTTTAAGAGCAGAAGAGAAGCCATGTGACATCAAGGCTAGATATACTAGGCCATGCAGCTTCTGCCTTGTTCACTGGAACACTGAGCCACTATGTAAGAACTTTAAATACCCTGAGACCACCATGCTGGAAAGGCTATCTGTAGGCGCTCCAACTAAGTCCTTGCTGGGTCTAAGCTTCTAGTCATCCCTATCAAGGTGCCAAACATGTGAAAAAAGAAGCCATCTTGGAAGTAGATTCTCTAATTCCAACTGTTGCAGTCCCTCGCTCTTCCCAGGTATGACCCAGACACCATATAACAAAGACAAGCCATCCCTGTTGTGTCCTGTCTGAATTCCTGACTCTAGAATCCATGAGAAGTATCAAATACTTATTGTTTTATGTCACTGTGTTTGGGATGGTTAGATTCTCAGCAGTGGATAACCAGAACATAGATCAACAATTTAACTGAACAAACATTAGATAAGTGTCAACTTTGGGCAAGTGAATTCAAAGACTAATGAAGACACTGTCCTGGCCCTAAAGGAATTTATAACCCATTAGTAGATTCTAACTTGCTACCACCTTGCAGAGACTACTTAACAGTTAGAACAGTATCTGCACATTGCAGTTAATAAATAGTTGCTCAATGAATGAACTAATGAACTATATTATTTAGAGTTTAGTTTAAGATAATAAACATTTGTATGTGAATTTCAATGTTTTTAATACAGCAAGGACTTAATACAGAGACTAGAGAAAGGTCAGACTGTTCATCAAAAATCATATTAAATTTTAAAATATAACTTTCTATATCTGTATACTCAACAATCACTCTGAGCTGTTTATATTAGACAAATTACCAGTTTCCAATCATCCACCTTTTCATTATATCTTCCACACAGTAGACCTAAGAATTTGGAAATGACTAAACTAGTAACTCAAATATTAATAAGCACACCTGGAAAATGGAACTTTCAACTGGATATAATTACAGCCTTCATCAACCTGTAAATGAAAGGACAGTTTGCAATTCCCAAGTTTTTATATCATCATCACAAATGGTTTGATAGAAAATATTGGTAATATTTCAATTGCACATTAAATTCTTATATGCGTGTCAGTTAAATGAATACTAATAAAATTTTGTGAAATTTTTATCTCACTGCTCTCAAATAAGCAACTGAATTGAGGCTTTGTTCAGTTCCTCTAACATCCAATAACTGATGTTTATAGAAGACTCACAAAACAATCCTATACCCTAAAAAGGATAGTTCTACTGATAGAAATAAGAAGCCTAAATTATTCTTCAGCCATAACTAGAACTGACCCAGAATAGTATATTCAAAAGTCTGATGTCAATTTCCAGGAGGTCTCTGATATCATGTTCAGATTCTGTGCCTGCTGGTGACAGAAAATACACAAAAATATAAGGCTACATTACATACATTTTCAAAAGATTATCTATCCTACCCTTTCTGAGCTCCTATTTTTAAACAATACAGTTTAGATTTAAGCAGTTTCTTTATAAATCTAAATGTTGCTAACATTTTAATAACATCTCATTCTTTTCTTTGTTGTTCTTTCTCATGTGATTATTTCTAATGAGTACAGTGGAATCCTTTATAATGCTGATATTTAGGATCAGAATGAACATGTGTATTCACGTGTATATAAAACTCTTACTACAGAGTAATAAAGAATATGATTTTACCTGTGGTAGATAAGAGTCAGCATGGAGCATTAGAATGGTGAACAAGAATATTGAAGTTGTCTAACTATACCATTAACTAGCTCTAAATCTTTGTGACTCAGTTTCCTTATTTGTAAAATAAGGAGATTAGATAATCTCCAATTCTATGATTTATATGTGAATAAAATGACAAGGCTTTCAATACCATATATATGGTATAGTATTATATCTAAATCCAGTGATGTAGTATGCACTGTTTTTCACAGCAATCAAGATTACTACAGGTTTATACTGTATGAGTGGCTTAATCTGAAGTTTAGAAATCAATATTTCGTGATGGGCCATAATAATCAACCACATTGTATATTGACAAAATAAAAATTTAAAGGAAAAAAAAAGAAATCAATATTTCTTTCTGTCATTTTATGTAATTCTACAGACATGAGATGTATTTTAACCCTTCCTAAGGGTATAAATAATTTTAAAGATCAAATCTTTTACCAAAATCAAATTATGAAACTCATCAAATAGCTAAGTTACTTAACCCTTTATAAAGCTTTTTATGGGCCGAGCCCACGGCGCACTTGGGAGAGTGCGGCGCTGGGAGTGCAGCAGCACTCCCGCCGCGGGTTCAGATCCTATATAGGGATGACCGGTGCGCTCACAGCACTCACTGGCTGAGCGCGGTGCGGCCGGTCTCAAAAAAAAAAAAAAAAAAAGGACGGAAAAAAAAAAAATCTCCATTAAATGTTTAAAGTTTTCCAACCCTTATTTCTTGCTCAGTCTAGCCTGTGAACACAGAATCTTTACAAGACGGTACCAAATAAAATCATGCATACTTATTTCAATGTTGCCACAAAAATTATCATTTTTATTGGCTGCATAATATCCCACTGAGTTGATGTATAATTGTATTTTTAACCTTTCCCTACTTTTAAGTAATTAAGTTGACTCCAATTTACGAAACTACTCACAATGTTGCCGTGAACATATTCACATATAGTTTTTTCTTCTTTTGAATTATCTCCTTGAGTTAATAATCTAAAGAATATTTACATTTTTATTTATTTGTTTATTTGTTTAGTTTTGGTGGCTGGTCAGTATAGGGATCAAATCCTGGACCCTGGTGTTATCAGTACCTGCTGTAACCAACTGAGCTAACTGGCCAGCCCCTACATTTACAATTTTTAAAATAAATTACCAAACTGCCTTGTAAAAAGAGCCTATCATTATATCCTGTTACCCATTTGAATATAACAGTTTATATTATAGCAGCAAAAATACTAATATTATATACCTATATACCTATATAGGTATATACTAACAGGTATAAAATGGTACTTCCGCATCACGGTTTTTGATAAATAATAATGCTAAATACTGTTCCATACAACTTATTTATTGTAATCAATTTGCCCATTTACTTACTGGAGCTTTGGTGTTTCTTGTATCAAGTTTTTGTTTGAACCATTTCATAAAACTTAAAGAGTTACTTCTCTTTCTTTTTTTTGCTTACCTGTTTTTAAGATGTGCCTCCAGATCACAGCGTTGCATTACATCTTGGCACACTGAAGAAAACGGACACAAAACTAATAATTTGTCTAGGAGTTTATGAACTAAAATACTAGACTTCTTACACAGCTTAAAATGAAGTCTCTTCCGGTCCAATGGACAGAAATCTTTCTCTTGTAAAAAGTTTCTGAGGCACTTATAGCAGAATGTGTGTCCACAGGGGGTATCTAGTGGCTGCAACAGAGGCTGAAGGCAAATATGGCAGACTAGGTCATCATCGACTTCATTCTGATAATTGTATAAGTGATTTTCTCTCGTCCAGTGCTGCTGGCCACATTCAAAGCACAGGGGGTTTAGAGAGGAAGAAGAGGTCTGTTCCACGGACACCATCTCATCACTTGTTGTCCCCATTCTGGATCAACTGAAGCAATTTCCGTATCCTCATATGTTAGTCTTCCACTTGAGGTCTGGTTTCCTTTAATAGACAGGGATGTATCTCACTAAAGCCAAGGTCTGTTTTTCTAGGTAAACAAAACAAACCAAAAAAAAAAAAGTAATATCAATCAAGATAGGTTAAAAGTATCAACATATTACTAGTAAACTTTTTTTTTTCTTTAGTAAAAAACTAAAGTGCAGATCGGGTAATAAATGAGTAATAAAAAATAAAAAATGAAATAAATGAATTTGCTAGTTGGCCAAGAAGAATGCCTTACACTGGCAAGTACTCGATGAAAACATAACTTGTGATTAAAAGCAAAGACACAATATATTACAAGGGTGATGTAAGAAACAATTGATTTGTTTTACTGACTGAAAACCCCAAATACTTAACTGCTCAGTGGTAGTTTTAAGGACAATTAATATACATTGTGTGCTAATAATGCAATTTGAGGTATATTATGTAATACATTTGTATCTGTCATTCCAGTCATGGTTCTTTGCTTTTGACTGATTTTATGCATTTATAATACTATACCAAAGATTCTGTCTTTGAAATGTAGTCTCAAGGATAATTCAATCTGTTAATAAAAATAACCTTTGCACTATGGAAGTATGTATGACTGAATATTCTCTGTATACACAGATTATAGAAAAATACATCTCCACAGTACATAAAAATAACATCTGTGAAAACTTCACAAAGTAAAATACTATTTTATTACATTAAAAGAAAAAAAATCTGCTGTAATTCAATTAAACAGATAAGATGTGTTATAAATTTCAATTTTACCTCATTTTATTCCACACATCCATCTGGTCTTGCTTACTCGAGCAGGAGAGAGAGAGAGAGAGAGAGAGAGAGAGAGAGAGAGAGAGAGAGAGAGAGAGAGAGAGAGAGAG